TGCAATAGCAAAATTGCCTACGTGCACATCGTCATGGGAATGTCTGAAGTAAATTAGATCACAACCACAGAATGCAATTTCATGGCACTTAAAATGAAGTACAGCCCCAGGTGCCAGCGTCTTAAAGTCTTCAAGATATACCATGCAAGTAAAAAACCCAATAAATGTACCTACTGCAGGGGTAATACATAAAGTAAAATTCCATTCGTGTACTTATATATGTATATGCACAGATAGAGATCTGCACAATGTATGCAAAACTTACAGCATTCACTAAGGAATGTATAGGGTAGAAAGAGGGAGAAGGAAGACTATTTTGTGTGTTAAAAATAAATGTTTCAGGGAGTAAAGCATTTAGTCAATGCTAGTTAAGACACGTGCATCCCACATCTTGAGTACCACAGTTTAATTCCTTGCTCCAACTCCAGACTCCAGTTCCCTGCTGGTGCAGACCCCGGGAGGCAGTGACAATGGCTCACATAATTTGGTTTCTGCCACCCATGTGGGAGACCTCGACTGTGTTTCTGGTTCCCAGCTTTGGCGTGGTCCAGCCCCACCCATTGTAGTAATTTGGGGAGTGAATCAGTAAATTAGAGCTCTCTGTCTCAAACAGAACTTTTTAAAATTTTTTTAAAGAAAAGACAGATTTATGCTAGCAAAAAATAAAATACTTAGATTAAATTTAACTGTAAAAGTAAAAATCCATGTGAGGAAAACAACAGAACACTCCTGAAAAGCACAAAGTGGGGACATACATCCTGGAGAGGAAGAATCAGCAATAAAGAAGTCAGCTCTTCTTAACTTACAAATAAAAATACCTCCAGGTTTTGTTTTATTTCTTGATCTAGATTATAAAGTTCATTGTAAAAGGCAAACACAAATTTGAACACTGCTTACACTAAATACTGTTTGAGTTGTCTTTCTCCCAAGCTTGACCTTGAAGGGCTTACCGTCCTCAGTGTCCCTAATAAAATAACTGCGTGGAGGAGACACTGGATGCCTGCCTTCCCCTGAAGCCACTCGGAACTACAGGGCACTCATGTCCTGCAGGTGCCATTTATGACTCTGGCATGTGCTGGATAAGCTGGCCCTTCACTCATGTTGCTCCATCTGTCCTTTCAAGTAGTTCTCTGAGGCAAGTGCTTGGGTTTTGTTTTAACCTCAGCCTCTTGGTGTCTCATGCATACAAATGGGGACTGCTTGAAGGGGTTATCACAAGCAGGTTCTGCACTCCACTGTAGATCCTACTCCTCCGTCATCATGATGGGTGTGGTGAGTCCACCTGTCAGAAGACAAAATTACAACCAACTTAGCTGGCACTGTCATTGGCTTTTATTCACAATTCATGAATCAAGGTAGTCTTCATTCTACAAAACAGAATGAGAACTCTCACTAGGAAAAAGCAAAAGCAGAACAGTGGGTTCTGTAAGGTGAGAATAAGGAGATGGAGCAAAAGCGGGGTGGGGGGTTGGGGGGATTGCTGACTGGCTGAAATCAGATTACTTTTTGTAAGGATTAAAACAGAGAGGACTTCCTTTATGCTGACTCAAGTAGATTGAAATCTCTTTTTAGGAAAAACTGAATCCAGGTCTGCTTCCTTAAAAAACAAAACAAAAACCCAAAACATCAGCAAGAAAAAAACTGACGCATCTGCTTCCTTAAATTTTCAGTTGGACTCTATAGCATTTAGCATGAGTGGTACCATTTTGGTTTGGTCTAGGCCCTGAAGCTGGAGCTCAGTGCAACCAAATGAGCTTATTAATTTTGCTTAGCAGAACAAAAGACTGGAACACAAGCAATCACCATGAAAGCTACACCATACCATAAAAAACGTATCCACAAACATTAGTGACCTAAAATAGAATTATTTTTAAAGGCCCTAATTTCACATTGACTATTCAAGTTATTTCAGGATACAACATAAGGTATGCATACACTCCACTTGAAAATGCATCCCTTTGATGGTGTAGATTTGATCATTACAATTTTAAATATTATTTTCCTGGAGTTCAGCAGCATTGCAAGGCAGATTTGGAAAGATTGTTCCCTTTGTTAAGGAAGCTTGAGTTTTTACTTCATGTTTTTCTCAAAAATACCCTCTTCTAGAAAGCAAAAGCAAGAAATTCACTTTATTTCATGAACTGATGAAGAATATTCAAGACCCTGTTCTTCTTTGCAAAAACTGCTGTGGTATTTTCTCAACATGATTATTTGCAGATGAGAATTTATGAATCCAAATTATAGTGCGCCCATTTCTCCAATCCTTTCATCCTTTGGGTTTCTTTTTGAGAAATATTGTGTAGATATTATCACAGCCATAGAACAATTTTACATGTGCATTTTCTCTCCTCCAGGGATTCTGACTGAGAAGCATAAAGAGCATTTTACACACTTTTGCTTTTTTTAAGATTTATTTATTAATTTGAAAGGTAGAGTTATAGACAGGGAGAGGCAGAGGTAGAGAGAAATCTTCCACCCGTTGATTCCCTCCTCAAATGGCTGCAATAGCCAGAGCTGGCCAATTGGATGACAGTAGCCAGGAGCTTCTTCCAGGCTACTTGGGCCATCTTCCACTGCTTTCCCAAGCACATTAGCAGGGAGCTGGATTGGAAGTAGAGCAGCTAGAACTTGAACCAGCACCCATATGGGATGCTGGTACTGCAGGACCCAACTATGCCACTGCCCCTTTACCCACTTTTGTAATCTAGGTGTCAGCTGTTGGGATTGGACAACCTGCCCCCACATTCCTTCCAGATTCAACCCAGAGCTGTTCCCTCTGCAACTAGTGTTCCTAGTGATGAAATTCCAGGATTTGGGGTTTATTTTTTTCCCTACTCTACTCATTTCTGAGGGATTAACACCTTTTGGAAAATAGAACACTGTCTTTAGCCTCCTGGCACTGTAGCAGGCATATTTCAAGAACTGTGTCCCCATGAAGACTTAGAGGAATATGTCTTCGGTCCTGGGTGAGGCTCCTCTCCGCTCAGACAAGATACAGCCCTGAGCTGGAAGGGCTACTGCGGTTCTGGCCTCGTTCATTTTCTCAGCAGCTGAATCCTGGTGTCCTTCCGTGTCCCAGGCGCCTCACTACATGATGGATGCGTCACTCCGCTGACAACCTCATGCTTCTGTATGCTAGACTGCGAGTTCCTTGGTCACCAGTTTGTGATAATGGTCCATGCCATAGCACGTCTACATTGTCATGAGTTCAGATTCTATGTCTGTAGTCAATACAAAGGGCTTTTGTTGATTGCAAAACCACTAAACACCTTGCTGTTGCAGGACCACTAAATACCATGGTTTTCCAGCCATTTGATATTTTAGGCAGAGTTTCCCTTTGTTATTAATTCCACATCCCATTGCCGTGTACTCCTTGGTTATTACTCTCCCTTTGCATTGTTTGCTTAATTGTTCAAAATGTTCCACTTATCTGGGCTGCTTCCTGAAGGTGATTTCTCCAGGTTGATTCAAGACCACATCTGACTCATCCAACCTTATTTGCAGCCAGAGTGCCTTATCTCTTTCCCAAATTGCAGTCATATGAAACTGCTAAGTAATCTCACAGCTTAATATTCTTTTCAACCAATTTGAAGCACTAGTAGAGAGATAGAGGTTCTCGGTGTAGTATATCATGTGAAAAGCTAGCCAACTTAGACATAATTATTTTACTATTGAACACTTGTGTAGTCGTACATCTGCCTATGAAGAAATGATCATTATAAAAACTTGGCAAAATTCTCATTATATTAAAGCCATTCATATTCATTTATGCATATATTCTAGGATCTGGGCAGAAAGCAAAGAGAAAACAATAAAGATAGGAATTTTTTCTTTATTTCTTCTTTCCACTACTTTTACTACTGAGCACTATAAATAATATTACAAACTAATTTAATATTGAGTCATTCAATTCAAGATTGAGTCTGATAAGAGGATGTACTTCCCAACCAATGATTGATTCTGCCAGGTTCCTGTGAAAGAAGAAATGCAAATTAAAAAAAAAAAAAAAAAACCTATGGAGGGCAGGCATTTGGCAAGGCATTTAAGACGCTGCTTGGGGCACCTCCATGTCACACATCAGAGTGCCAAAATTCTACTCCCAGCTCCACCCCCTGACTCCAGCTTCCTGCCAGTGCAGACCTTGGGAGGCTGCAGTGGTGGCAAGTAATTGGGCTTGTGCCACCCATGTAGCAGACCTGGATTGAGTTCCCAGCTCCTGGCTGTGGCCCTGCCCAGTCTCCACATTTGTGGCCCTTTGGGGAGTGAGCCAGCAGATGGGAGTTCTCTATGATTCTGTCTGTCTCTGCCTGTCAAATTAAAACAACAATAACAATGTGAGGGGTGGGCATTTACTCTAGTGTTAAGATGCCCACATCCCATATCAAAGTAGCTGAGTCAGGTACCCAGCTCCAGCTCCCTGCTAATGCACACTCTGGGAGGCAGCAGTGATGACTGAAGCATCTGAGTCCCTGCCAGCTACGTGGAAAACCTGGATCAAGTTCTTAGTACCCAGCTCCTGGCTCCCAACTTAGGCCTGGCCCAGTCCCAATAATTGTGAGCATTTGAGGGTATAAACAAGTAAGTGGGAGATCTGTCTTTCTCCTTTGCTCTCTCTCTCTCTCTGCCCTTCTCTCTCTCTTTCTCTCTCTCTCTGTCCCCTGCCTTCCTCCCTCTCATTCACTCTCACTCTACCTCCTTTCCTCTAAAATAATAAATATTTTTTGAAACACATGAATATTCTCTAAATATTCAGTCTGTGAACTGTTACATGTACTGACAAAACCACTGCTTTATGACATAACTTTGATGAAGAAAGTCAGCTATTTCATTTTGTTAGCCTATGAGCTAAGAATAAAATCTTGGTGCTGGAATTGAACATTATATTCTCCAGGCAGAGGAAGCAGACGTTTATTGGATGTTATTGCTGCTTTCTTCACACTAATGACATTACGAAAGCTCTTTGAGTAAGATAATTTGAAAATATGATTTCTGTGTTCCAGGTCATGCAAGACAAGATAATCTGCCTTCCGAAGAGAGTGCAGCCTGCTCAGAACCACTCTTCCATTTCAAATGTCTCTCAGGCAGCTGCCAGTACCACCCCACTGCCTCCACCCAAACCGTCTCCTACCAATCCCGCCACTGTGGAAATGAAGGGGCTGAAGACAGACTTGGACCTCCAGCAGTACAGTTTTATAAACCAGATGTGTTATGAGCGGGCCCTCCACTGGTATGCCAAGTATTTCCCTTACCTTGTCCTCATCCATACCCTGGTCTTCATGCTCTGCAGTAACTTTTGGTTCAAATTCCCTGGCTCCAGCTCCAAAATAGAACATTTCATCTCCATCCTGGGGAAGTGTTTTGACTCTCCCTGGACCACACGGGCTTTATCTGAGGTGTCTGGGGAGGACTCAGAAGAGAAGGACAGCAGGAAGAACAATGTGAACCGGTCCAACACCATCCAGTCCGGGCCAGAAGGCAGCTTGGTCAACTCTCAGTCTCTCAAGTCAATTCCTGAGAAGTTTGTGGTTGACAAAACCACTGCTGGGGCTCTGGATAAAAAGGAAGGTGAGCAAGCCAAGGCCTTATTTGAGAAGGTGAAGAAGTTCAGGTTGCATGTGGAGGAAGGGGACATACTGTATGCCATGTATGTCCGCCAGACCGTACTCAAGGTCATCAAGTTCCTGATCATCATTGCCTATAACAGCGCTCTGGTTTCCAAAGTCCAGTTTACGGTGGACTGCAACGTTGACATTCAGGACATGACTGGATACAGAAACTTTTCTTGCAATCATACCATGGCACACTTGTTCTCAAAACTCTCCTTTTGCTACCTGTGCTTTGTAAGCATCTACGGATTGACGTGCCTTTATACCTTATACTGGCTCTTCTACCGTTCGCTAAGGGAATATTCCTTTGAGTACGTCCGGCAAGAGACTGGGATTGATGATATTCCTGACGTGAAGAATGACTTTGCTTTTATGCTTCATATGATAGACCAGTATGACCCTCTCTATTCCAAAAGATTTGCAGTGTTCCTGTCTGAAGTCAGTGAAAACAAGTTAAAGCAGCTGAACTTGAATAACGAGTGGACTCCGGATAAACTGAGGCAGAAGCTACAGACAAATGCCCACAACCGACTGGAACTGCCTCTTATCATGCTCTCTGGCCTTCCAGACACTGTTTTTGAAATCACAGAGTTGCAGTCTCTGAAACTTGAAATCATTAAGAACGTCATGATACCAGCCACCATTGCGCAGCTAGACAATCTGCAAGAGCTCTCTCTGCACCAGTGCTCCGTCAAAATCCACAGTGCGGCTCTGTCTTTCCTGAAGGAAAACCTCAAGGTCCTGAGTGTCAAGTTTGATGACATGAGGGAGCTGCCGCCCTGGATGTATGGGCTCCGGAATCTGGAAGAGCTCTACCTGGTTGGCTCCCTAAGCCATGATATTTCCAAAAACGTCACCCTCGAGTCTCTGCGGGATCTCAAAAGCCTTAAAATTCTCTCCATCAAAAGCAACGTCTCCAAAATCCCCCAGGCGGTGGTGGACGTGTCCAGCCACCTGCAGAAGATGTGCATCCACAATGATGGGACCAAGTTGGTGATGCTCAACAACCTGAAGAAGATGACCAACCTGACTGAGCTGGAGCTGGTCCACTGCGACCTGGAGCGCATCCCGCACGCCGTGTTCAGCCTGCTCAGCCTCCAGGAACTGGACCTGAAGGAAAACAACCTCAAGTCGATAGAAGAAATCGTCAGCTTTCAGCACTTGAGAAAGTTGACTGTGCTCAAACTGTGGTATAACAGCATCTCCTACATCCCAGAGCATATCAAGAAGCTCACCAGCCTGGAGCGACTGTCCTTCAGTCACAACAAAATAGAGGTGCTGCCCTCCCACCTCTTCCTATGCAACAAGATCCGATACTTGGACCTGTCCTACAATGACATTCGATTCATCCCACCTGAAATCGGAGTTCTCCAAAGTTTACAGTATTTTTCCATCACTTCTAACAAAGTGGAAAGCCTACCAGATGAACTCTACTTCTGCAAGAAACTCAAAACTCTGAAGATTGGGAAGAACAGTCTATCCGTACTTTCACCCAAGATTGGGAATTTACTGTTTCTTTCCTACTTAGATGTTAAAGGCAATCACTTTGAAATCCTCCCCCCTGAACTGGGCGACTGCCGGGCTCTGAAACGAGCTGGGTTAGTTGTGGAAGATGCTCTCTTTGAAACTCTGCCTTCTGATGTCCGGGAGCAAATGAAAACAGAATAACTTATTTTTGGTTCAAGTTTGACTGAAACACGCTTCTACCAAATACAGTATAAATAATTAGGCACTCTTAATGCCTTTCCTATTTTATTTTTTTTCTTTTTCACACAAAACAAAATGTACACAAAGTTCAAGTAAGGAGTATGTATTTTTTAAATAAAAATTTAATTGTATTTTTTCAATATTAATATTTTAAAGTTTATTTCTCTTGGAACCTATTGTATCTAGTATTGTTTTCTACTGACAGCATCAGATGGTTCCATGTGTTTTTTGTTTTGTTTCATTTCTTCGGTTTATTCTTGTGAAAGGGAGGGAGTTCTAAGTTGCATGCATTTTGGCATTTTTTAAATGGATGAAGTTGTTTTGCCAAGGTTGCTTTTCGTTTGTTTACACCTGTGTACAGGGTCCCTATTTTGGCTTTCGTTGCGTGAGAAGCACGGAGTCTGTGCTCGTTACTTTGAGACCAGCTGCCTTCTCCAGGGCCACGCCCTTCGTCCTGCAGCACTCTGCTCTGGAGTGCAGACTCACACAAGTGCATTGCCACACAGTATTGGTGTTCAGTTCTTCCCCAGCCTCCAGCAGAACCCTCGAGTGCACTGCTTCTCAGGCCTGACAGCGACGGTTTTCCTTAGACAAGGACTTTGTGAGGGGTGGAAAAAAATGCTTGAATTGGTCACTTACAGTTTAACTGATTTGTGTTTTTAACCAACCTGTAAAAAATACAATTTGGAAACTCAATACAAAGGCTCCCCCCATCCTTAACAATGCTTTGTAGTATTGGTGAATATCCTTCAGGAAACCTGATTGAGTCTAATATTCTAGTAGGCAATTCAATTTTAAAATCATAGGATTAGGAGCCTGCATCTTTGAGTAATTCAATCAGCCTTGATATCTTGATACACGGATGCATCAGACGGGAAAAATGGCACTACTCAAGCCCTTTGTGACAGAGCCACTGTGCTCCAGCCAACCCTCCCCTCCCTCTGGGTGGTGTGGCAGTGGTACTCTACCCACATTCTGCCTGTTGCAGAGTAACCCACTTACATCTGTAGTAATCGATGTCCCTCAAACCTGCCCTCGCTGTGAATGCTTGCGATGCAAGCACAGGAACCCTTTCTGCTCTCTGGCTTAAAGTAGGTCTCTCATCTGGAATGATTCTATGACTTTATTCAAAGGATGAATAAATGGCTAAGAGGTTGCCACTGAGCAATAATTTTACCTGATGTTCAGCAGAGCTTTGATTTACCTTTCCCCTTAAAATCCAACATAGTAAAGGGTTTAGGGCAAAATAGCTCAATGACTGCTAAGCTGTATAGAGCAGGAAAATAAAATACAGTGTTTGGGCCCTCAACCAAGGACCAGTTCTGCTGGTCATAGGAACTTTGTTCAATTGTCACATTCACAGGGACAATTTTCTGAGCCCTAGACTCATCTGAGAAATGTTGGGCACTTAAAATGAAAGAAAGTAGGAGAATGATTTGGGTTTTTACAATGCTGTTTTAAAAAATTGCTCCTTGGTGAATTTTCCCAGCGCTACTTTGAGTCATACACAGAAAGCAACTCTGGGAACTGCTCAGCAGAGAGAACATCTCGGTTGTGTTTTAAATTCTAGAGCACGTGATGGGGTGAACGATTAGGGAAAGGATCACTTTTCCTCTGTTTAGTAATCCAGCCGTATAGACTTTGCGTCTGTGCGCGTGGCAGTTTCGGCTGTAAAAGTTTTAGGTGGTTTTATGTAGCTGAATTATTGAGACCTGGAATTGGAATAGTACTTTTATTATCAATAAGTAATAGTAATAATGCACTGTTATAGTTGTTGTATGATGAAATATTCAATTCTGGAATATTGTTGGAACCCTGACTATGAACAGTGTGTTGCATTTAGAAACATAACCCTCACTGTTTTCAGCAATTTGTTAGCAGATTGTCTGTGGTGGAACATTATAAAAAGACCCCACGGCAAGGCGAGCTTAGAGAACTGAGGGCAAAACACTGGATGCACTGTTTTTCTGGATAAAACTTAGGATTATTTTCTATATCACCCTTCAAAGGGTATCTATTCAGGTTAAAATTATATTTATGCTGAAGTCTTTATCTGGTGTTAACTAATGATCTCTTACAGCTTCATAACTGAAGCAAGTCACTAATAGTTCACTTGTAGCAGTTTGACAAAAATCAAAAGAATTTGTTTTCTTAATGATTTTTACAGGCTGACCACCCCCCAACCTAAGATTCAAATAACATCTAGTAAATTAATACAAACTACAACTTTGTTTTAACTAACAAGGAAGAATCATAAATATTTCTATTACCTTTTATAAAAATTCAAAAGTCTCAAACTTCATTTTGAGTCTAAACCTTCCAACTCTGGCCCATTTTAATATTGTGACTTTTTGTCCACATTAAGCAAAAAGCATTCAATTACTGTTCAGCCTTTAAATGGTAAACTCAGGTAAATGAACTGCTGACTTTTCTAAAGTTCCTTAACTGATCAGCTCACTGTATAGGGTATCGTGTCACTTTCTGTATTTTACAAGTGCTCTTGCTGAAGAGGAACAGCAGCTGTATTTCTCCAGCATCCGTTGGATTTCCTGAGAAACTGCTTGTGTAACTGTAAAAGCACCATAATGTATTCTCAACTCATGTGGCTGTTTGAAACTTGTGATGGGTTAAGCTGTTTTGGTCTGTTTTAATGGTGAAGTAGAGAACAAACAATTGTTCGGTGAGGATCTGGTTGAAGGGGAACACATAGGTATACCCCAAGTGAACCCGCCTAAGAAACCTGCATTTGTTCATGATGTGCTGAGTGTTGTTTTATTTTTAACACAAGGTTTTGAACCCATGACATCTGTCATTTACAATTGTATCTCTTCATGATGTTCACCCAATTCTTTCCCTGCCATTGTAGTTCTCAGCTATTTGAATGAGGTCCAGCAATTTAACATGGTATCCTGTGCAGTGGGCACTACTTTTTCAGAAAAGCTTGGAAAATATGCCTGTTAACGAGTATTTTGTCCTAAAGGTGGCTCTTTGCCTCTCAAGCCTACTATGTGTAGAGGGGTCTTAAACAACTCTTTGAGTTACTTGAAATGAGCAAAATCCAAGTTCTTACAAATATGCTATGATTTCTGACACCGAGAAGGAAAATATCATCTTTATATCTGTTACTAGTGTTTCCCCCAAGAGAGGTTTTGCTGTTTGTTTTCTATGATAAGAAAATCTATCCATTGTTTAGGTTTCATTTTATTTTATTCTCTGATTTCAGTCTAAATACAGGACCCACATTGGTGATGTACTCATCCAGTGAACATTCATGGTTCATCGTAATGAACTGTCAGCAGTATTCATCAGTGAACAGATAAGACAAATGGCAATATAATTTTAATTTGCTTTTACAGACTAAAATTAAGAGTCAATGCACATTCTCCTATGAATCCAGAATGTGATAATGTTATTCAAACAGTTCCCACTTTGGTACTATCTCAGTAACTCAAGATAGAGCTCCCTGTCATCATCCAGTTAGCAAAACAAATGAAGAAAACACCCGTCGTTAGGAGATGACTACCTAAAGGGTTAGGGACTTTCTGATCTTTTCTTGTCCATTTAGAAACACTAAGAAAACATGGATAATTTGCCAGTCCTGGCATGGTTTTTCAGATGTGGGCCCCTGCCGTGTTCTGATACAGGTCCATGCCAGCTTCCACACAAGCTATCCACTCTTATTCCATCTGCCCTGAGTTATTCACCGACAAAGGGGGCATCCCTAAGTTCATTTTGGGAAGACAGAGGAGGGGCTCAACCTGCCCCTAAGCAATATTTTTTTTTTATCTGAAGTCCCTGAAAAGGAGTATAAAACTTCGGACAACTTAATGTCTTGGCTGTGTTAAATAACAGTTCCTGTGCATGATTTTGAATGTGGTATACATTTGCTGCTTTTTCTGAATACCCCTTTCTCTCCCGCCTCACTCTGACCCCTTATGGATATTTCTATTGGTTGAAAGGCCACGCCTTATGTGCTTGCACCGTTTCCCTTTCCCATGTGTTCACTCACTGTCTCTATGTATTCGGATCATGTCAAATGCTGACAAAACCTCTGAGACTCAAGACAATGCTTGAAAGTTGATTTGTCATAATGCAAATTCATGATGAAATGTCTTAACATAATTTGGCTACGTAGTACCTAGAAACAAAATAAAGTTGTTTTTATAACTTAAAATTGAGATCAGTCCCTTTCTCTCTCATTTTCAGAAATCATGATTATCCCTTGCATTTCTTCAGCTATTTATAAGGTTCCCTCTGCAGAAAATGGGCTGCATGTATTCTTTCGCTGTTAAGCTAGTTTCCGTAATTATCACTAATTATTTCCTTCCTTAATTCACTGCGCTGAATCTAGCGAAGATGCCTCTGGAGTTTCATCTGGGTAATTAGTGCCTGAATATGTAATCTGGAGTGCAATTGCTGTGCACTTGCCAGATCAGATTGGACAGTGGCTGTCCAGTCCGGCTTTCCCTAAATGCATGCAGGGTGACGACTGTGGCCACTGGAAGCAGTCAGAATGGTTCTGCATGGCAAGGAGGCCTCTCCCAATGCACACATTCTCTCCAGGCTTCAGGGAGCCTATATGAAAATCTTACTTATACCTACGTGTAAGGAAATTGTAACTGATAACTTTCTTTTAAGATTTATTTATTTATTTGAAAGTCAGCATTAAAGAGACAGGGAGAGAGAAAGAGAGAGATCGTCCACCTGCTGGTTCACTCCCCAAATGTCCACAATGACCAGTGCTGGACCAGCGGGGGGCCAGGAGCTTCATCCGGGTCTCCCTTGTGGGTGCAAAAGCCCAAACACTTGGGCCATCTTCGGCTGCTTTTCCCAGGCCATTAGCAGGGAGCTGGGTTGGAAGTGGAGTAGCGGGGACTCAAACTGACACCCACATGAGATTTCAGCATTGCAGGGAGCATCTTTACCCACTTTGCCACAACACGGGCCCCAACTGGTAACTTTCAAAGCTTAATTGCTGCTGCACATAATCGTACTATTTACTTTATTGATAATCAACTCTCTGGAGAAGGACTGTTGAGATGAGGAAAGGTGATGACTGGAGAGAGAAGACATGCGAATGTGGGTTTCAGAAACAAGAGATTATGTGAGAGCTCTGGAGAAATCTTGGGGACAATAGCTGGGGAATGTAATAGATTCACAGTATCTGCTGATCTTAGTGCAATGTGCACACCTCAAAAAGCCTCTGCCCACTTGCACCTTCCCCCGTCCCATCTTCCAGGCCTTTCATTTGTATGGAACTTTGAGGTAAACTCTGAAATTGAATATATGGATTCAGTTATCTGCTATTGTTGGCCAGCAAGATAGAAGATAAGCATTTTGTCTGGGTAGAGAAGTAAATGCTCAATGTGAGTCATTAAAATTAATTTGAGGCTCTGGTGTTATTACACAGTTATAGTACAAGCATGCATATTTCTGAATATAAGCTCCAATGTCATCTTAAACATCCAGGAAGAAAAAAAATAGTGAAAAAGAACATTAGCCATATTTTTGTGTGTAAATCTCTGAATCCAGGTTATATCATGGGTATTATATTTAAACATATTTGAACAAGGTACAAACAATCATTTATACAAGCAGGCATAAACAATAAATATACTCAGAGCTTGAATGTCAAGGATCTAAATATAATTAATGGTTCTGACTATATCGATCCAAGGATTCTTTTTTTTAAATTTTTATTGTTTTTCAACTTTTATTTAATAAATATAAATTTCCAAAGTACAACTTTTGAATTATAGTGGTTTTCCCCCCCATAACCTCCCTCCCACTCAATCCAAGGATTCTTGTTACAAAGTTTGAGAACAAGTAGAAGACAGGCTTTCTCTTAGTTTTTTAATCCCTTAGGGAATTAATTTTACTTCAACTTGGGTTATTTCTAGACATATACCATTTTTAAAAAGTGTTTGGTTCCATTCTTATTACTAGTCTCGGGTAAAATAGATCTTGCAAAAGTAACACCAAGGAGGCAACATGTAAGTTTTGCATTTTATATCTCCTCTATAGTTTATCTAATAAAATATAATCAAGTTCCCCAAAGTGATTTTGATATGGAAAAAAATTCTTTGAAGTGTAAGATTTCTTGGGACTCCATTGTCAGTTTCACATGTATGTGATAATTTTGTTAAGATCACACAATCACGTGGACAGCTTAGAAC